TTCTATTTTTTAAATATGTTTCTTAATGAATTTTTTTTGTACAACCCCATCCATGAACATTTAATTTCATTTGATTTTTTTTATATATTTAATTTCATTTAATTTTTATGTCAAGTTTAATTCTATTTTTTCAATTGGTATTTTTTTTTTGTTTTTCATTGATTTTTTTATTGATTTTATTTTCAATTTCATCTCTTAATGTTTGTTAGATTAATAAAGGATTGTGGAGGGTTATTTTGGAAATTGAATATTTAAATGTATAATGAATGGAGTCACTCCAGTTTCATGATTCAAATAATAAATTTAAAAGATTAACTTAAATTAATATATATATATATATATATATATATATTTCTTTGCTAATTTTTCCTTGCTTTTCTATTTATAAGGACATCCCAATTTCATGTTGTATGTTATGTGTTTAATTTGCTGACCTAAATTATTTGCTAAGCTCACTCGAGACTTTTTTTGTTATTTTTTTTTGTTTTTATAAGTTTTTTAAATTTATATTTCTAAATTGGCTTATAATAGAATTTTTGATAGGACCTAGATCCAAGGTTTTATAGGTTACAAGCTTTTTAAGATTTAATTATGATTATGATGTTTGTCTAGGTTTATTTGATTTTTCTAAATATTTTTAATTTTACTCCTATTTTTTTCAATTTTTAAAACTTGGTCGTACTTATTTTAGTTTATATTTATTTTATTTGATATTTTTTTATTTTTTTCATTAAATTGTAGCCTCTTTAAGATTTTCATATCAAATTTTATTCTTATTTTTTTGTTGTTTTTGTAAGTTTTGTTTTTTCAATACTTTTCTACTAATCTCATCTTTTAAAATTAAATTAATTGAGAATTATATTTTTTAATTGAATTTAGGTAAAAACATTTACAGGGTGTAAATTTAGAGATTAAATTAGGTTGAAGAGATTTACTTTGTTTTTCTCTCTTTTCCTGAATTGATGTTGTCTTATTTTTTTTTTATCTTTTTTTCAGTTTAATTATATTTTTAACTTTTTTTTCTTATTTATTTTAGTTTGATTTTGATAACCCTAATCATTTTTTTTTACTTCACTTCCATCTTTTTTAATCTATAAATAATCTATCATATTAGAAATAATTTTCAAATTCACCCTTTATGAATTTTTAACCTTTCAAGTTAGATCATAATTCTTTTAATTGTAATTTTTTTTTTGCGATAATATTTTTTTTAATTTAATTGTCATTGGGTTTTTTATGTCATATTATAGCCCTATTATTTATTTTTTTTTGCAAGTTTTTTATTAATAGTTTTTTCAATAATTTTATTTTTGAAAATTAAATTAGATAACATTTAAATTTCACCTGAATCCATAATTTAACAAGCTGTATTGTTTTAATTGAATCATGTTTAAGAGATTCGTTTAAATTTTTTTATTTTTTTTTTATTTTAAGCTAATGTTTTCTTTTTAAGTTTGATTTTTTTTTGCCAATTTTTCTTCAATTACGTTAGTATTGTGTTGTTTTTATAATCTAAATGGGCTCGATTGTAGTTTTTGCCAATTTTTCTTCAATTACGTTAGCATTGTGTTGTTTTTATAATCTAAATAGGCTCGATTGTAGTTTTTTTTTTTAATGATTTATTTACTGTTATTAGTTTTTTTATAAATATTTAAATTGCCATGCTTTGAGCTTGAATTTTTTTTACCTATTATTTTTTATAGATTAAAAAAAAATTGTTTGTCCAGCGGCATCGTGGTGCTTAAATTGAATTGAGCACCAGATCGTAAATTTTCCATCCTGACGAGTTAAACTTAGTTTAACAACTATGGCTCTGAGGTGAAACATGTATGGCAAATTTCCTCTCCCAAATCGTCATCATTATTCCAGAATCACTGTATCATTGTTGGAAATTCTTTATTAAACTAGAACAATAGCCAACTCAGCGAAGGAAGTGAGTTCTACCCTCCACTGGCTTGGCTTTTAACAGTAAACAGCAACAGCAAGTTCTGTCTGTCTCTGCCTCTGCGTCTCTCTCTCTCGCCCCCACTGGGGTCACAACCATCTCATAGTTAAAAGAAGTCATAAACAAATTCACATCTGCTACGAAAACAAAATTCAAGAATTCATACCACCCCATTTCGATTTTTGAGAACCCTCAAGTCCCAATATAAACTTTCTTGATTCTGTCCTAAACTTGAAGAGACCAAAGACAAACTTAATAACAGCTAGTTAACTCTACTGGGCTGGTCTTCATTTTTGGTGCATTTTTGGTTTTGCCACGAAAAATGAAGCCGAAACCAAGCCTTTTGCTTTTGATAACCTTCTTTGTGTTTCTTTCACTGAATTCTTTTTCTACTGTGGAGTCAGATCTAGCTTCAGAGAGGGCAGCTTTGGTTACTCTGCGTGATGCAGTTGGAGGCAGATCACTCTTGTGGAATCTTTCAGATAATCCATGTCAATGGGTAGGAGTGTTTTGTGATCAAAATAGAAGCACAGTTGTTGAGTTAAGGTTACCTGGCATGGGACTTTCAGGGCGGTTGCCGGTTGCTCTTGGAAATTTAACAAGTTTGCAAACGCTTTCTGTAAGGTTCAATGCACTTTCAGGGCCAATTCCTGCCGATATAGGCAATATTGTTTCTCTACGTAATCTTTATTTGCAAGGGGACTTCTTTTCTGGGGAGATTCCTGAATTCTTGTTCAGGTTGCAGAACTTGGTAAGGTTAAACTTGGCTAATAATAACTTCTCAGGTGTGATCTCTCCAAGTTTTAATAATTTGACTAGGTTGGATACTTTGTATTTGGAGGAGAATCAGCTTACGGGTACTATTCCTGACTTGAATTTGCCACTTGATCAGTTCAATGTTTCTTTTAACAATTTGACTGGTCCTGTTCCTCAGAAGCTGTCTACCAAGCCCTTGAGTTCTTTTCAAGGGACCTTGCTTTGTGGGAAGCCTTTGGTTTCTTGCAATGGTGCTTCAAATGGGAATAGTAATGATGATAAGTTGTCTGCTGGAGCAATTGCTGGTATTGCTGTTGGATGTGTGATTGGATTTTTGTTACTTTTAATGATCTTGATCTTCTTGTGTCGACGAAAGAGAGACAAAACAGTAGGATCTAAAGATGTTGAGCTGCCCAAGGAGATAGCAGTTGAGATCCCTAGTGGGAAGGCTGCTGGGGAAGGTGGTAATGTAAGCGCAGGGCATGCTGTGGCGGTGGTGAAAAGTGAAGCTAAGAGCAGTGGGGCTAAGAATTTGGTGTTCTTTGGGAACACGGCGAGGGCATTTGGTTTGGAGGACTTGTTGAAAGCTTCTGCAGAGGTTCTGGGAAAGGGGACTTTTGGCACTGCCTATAAGGCCACTCTGGATGTGGGGTTGGTGGTGGCTGTGAAGAGGCTGAAGGAAGTAATGGTACCGGAGAAGGAATTTAGAGAGAAGATTGAAGGGGCTGGAAAGATGAATCATGAGAATTTGGTTCCATTGAGGGCTTATTATTACAGCCAGGATGAAAAGTTTCTTGTTCATGATTACATGCCCATGGGAAGTTTATCTGCGCTTTTGCATGGTGAGCATTTCCTTCTTTTCCATCATGATTTAGTCCTTTTGGTTCTTTTGTTATAATTGTTGTTCTTTCTTTCCTAATCACCTTCGTTGTTTGATTTTTCTTATGTCTAGTAGATGATTCTGTTATCTTTCTAAATTAATTACTTGATTTGGGTTTTCTGACATGCTTGTTTCATGTAATGCAATAATTTTGTTGATAATTCGGCACACTACTGGAAACCTCAAAATTTTTGCAGAGATTTACCACATGTAATTTAAAATCCTGAACACATGGTTTTGGACTTCCGTTTTTGCTTCACCTGAAATAGATCATATTTATCACTATTAAGCTGCCTTTTTTTGGTAGAAATCATGTCTCATTGGATTGCTAACAATTAAAGTCCTCTCAAACTGCCTTGAGGGAATAGTTATATCTAGACAACTGCAGTTTGCTGTTGCATACTGGTCTTTTGAAAGTATTCAATCATGGTTTTGTGTCTAAATATTAGCGTTGCATGATTTGGATGAATCATTGGATTATGTTGAGATTCATTAGGCACAGATGATTGAGATAACTTTTGGAACGTTGGTTTTTTTTCTTATTACACTTTGTTTCAACTGCAGGAAATAAAGGGTCTGGCAGGACTCCATTGAATTGGGAGACAAGGTCTGGCATTGCCCTTGGAGCTGCCAGAGGAATTGCATACATCCACTCTCAAGGCCCGGCAAGCTCTCATGGAAACATCAAGTCATCAAATATCCTCCTTACTACTTCACTTGAAGCCCGCGTCTCCGACTTCGGCCTTGCACACCTTGCAGGTCTTACACCCGCGCCCAACCGTATCGATGGCTATCGTGCACCAGAAGTGACAGATGCTCGTAAAGTATCACAAAAGGCTGATGTCTACAGCTTCGGTATATTGCTGTTGGAATTGCTCACTGGAAAGGCTCCAACACATTCACAGTTGAATGATGAGGGTGTAGACCTTCCAAGATGGGTCCAATCTGTTGTCAAAGAAGAATGGACTGCTGAGGTGTTTGATCTAGAGCTTCTTCGATATCAGACTGTAGAGGAAGATATGGTTCAGCTCTTACAGCTCGCAATCGATTGCACTGCCCAATATCCTGATAACCGTCCTTCAATGTCCAAGGTGAGAAGCCAGATTGAGGACCTTTGCCGCTCTAGCTCTCAAGGACATGACATTGTAGATGACAAGCCCTCTTAACATACTTGTTGAGTTGATTCAGATGCACCACCATCTTCTCAAAGGACAAAGAAACATCAGCAATCTGTCAATGTTTCCTGGTGTTCCATACATTGTTTAATATAGCACTTCATTTGTTTGTTTCTCGGGTTCATTTCATTTATGAACTCTTCCTTTTCCATTCCTTCTGTCCATTTGCCCTTGTTTTCGTAGCTGCAGTTTACTTCTGCATTTTGTTTTACCTTTCATGTCGTATTTCATAGGAGAACTCCAACATTATTAATATTTGTACTTGGCTGTGTGTAAGTGTGAATAACTAGCAAGTTATTTCAGTTGAGTACATGATCCTGTAATTCTTTTAGCATCTTTTACTTTGGTGCTTTTCCTTTGTAAGCTTTTGGTCATGAATGTTAAGCTTTTGGTACGTGAGATTCCGTTAGATTTACAAGCATGAATGTTGGCCTTATTTGTTTTTTATAGGCACTTTTCAGAGGAGATGAACAATCAAGGTATTATTATGCAATAAACAATCATGATTTGAGAGGCAGGTGCTATGTCAATCTGATCATCAATTAAGGGTCATGTCCATTCATGGTTTGATTTGGACAAAGACTTGGTCTTGCCTTTCTCATTGTGACATATCGATCAAGACAGAAACATCCTACTTGAGTTTACAAAGATTTCTTGCCACTGATGTAAATGCGAAACAGCCCTTGACTACATCCGGAAGATGTGGCTTTTGCCTCCCTCTCTCTCTCGACGGTGACTAGTTCCAACAAAATCTCTTCATAATTCAGTATGACACTTGCTCGGTTCATGCTTAGCATAACGGTCACTTTCTATAATTATTTCTTGGCAATCAACAATATGGGATGCTTCCTCATGGGATATGATTTTATCTTCCTCTGTTCTCCATGCTTTTGCATCTCCCAATCCATTATTAGTTGGAAAAGGTTTTATAACATTGAACCAATGATTTGACTAAAAGAGACCACTTACTCCTGGAGTTCTTCAACTTTCTTTCAAAATTCAAAGATGCGTGCTCCCTTTCTTTATTCTTTCTCGAGTACTTTCACAAAGAATTGGCTGCTTCTTTTTTTCCTTTCTGAGAAACATACATCGGGAGACTCAAGCATTTCCTTTTCTTTTCCAGCAAATGGCCACCGCTACAGGTATATATTGTCTTCAAGCAAATTTAAATAATCCAGTTTCTTTGCTTCTAGTGAATCAGGTTTAATTTGTTGAAACTGAGTTGTATGACGTTGCTTAACCTGATATAGTCCCCTTTGAAACTGCACTATTGCTTCGGCCACAAATCTAATTTGTTCAAACTGAGTTGTATGAGCTCAGATCTAATTTTGTTCAAGAGTGGGACCATATGGGGTTTGTGATTTAGCTCAGATCCATATCACCCTTCTCTTTCTGGTACCATTAAATGCTAAGTTAAGACAATATGATATCCATGGTTGAGTTAATATGTTAGGTCAGATGTCGTTGCTTTGATACTAAGAAACTAATAGCTTTTACAATGTTTGAAAATGATTTTTTTGTTAAATTTTAGGTTCTAGTATAAGAAAAGATAAGCACCATGAGTTAAACCTTCGCAACTAAAAATCATAAAATAAAAAAAAATCAAGAAAAATAACAAAATGAAATCAAACATGTTCATAACCTAATTTAAGGAGTTCCATATAGCAGATGAATTGAAAAAACAATCTTTTATTGAAGTAGGCCTGCAAAATTTTTTAAACTTGATTCAACATTCATATGAAAATTTATAGTTTATTTTAATTATTATATTAATTTGAATCGATCAGAATTCATTTTAGGCTTAACTCTATTTCTCTAGTTCACAAAAATATCTACTAGGTCGTTTATATAATTTTTTTATAACATAATCTCATCTAGTTGTAGTAAATCCCTTTATTACTTTTATTTTTTTACTAGTTTGATTATAATACTCGGTTAATATAATGAAAACTCAATTAATATAAAAAAATTAAAATAATATTATTTTAATTTTATTAAAAGTATATATATATATATATATATATATATTAACTCAGGTTGAACCTATAACATCATACTTGTGTCAAGTTGACTTATGTTGGTTTAATAGCTATGAATATTAGCTTTTCACGTTTCAGTCATATATGTTAACATGCATTGCAGAGATCCATAAATTTGCAGAGCGGTTGCTCTAAACACAATTATCCTTGGCATCATTCTTTGAATCTAAGTGTTGTCCATGAAAAAAAAATAATTGCCTTATTGTCTTTCGAAATTAACAATAGTCAAGGTTGTTGATTTGAAAATGAAATCCAGTACTCCTGTCACGATAGTTCTTCAGAAAATGAAATCCAGTACTATAAAGCAGAAAACGACCCAACAAAAGAAAGGATGAACCAAATCCATATAGGCATGTAAGGGAAAAGACTTGACCTAGGACTAACATATTTTTGTTGATACTAACTCGAGATCTTTTTTGATTCTCTCTTAAAACTGTCTTGTCTGAGATACACACCTCCGAAAGCAATCATTCAACCTTAGAGATCACTCAAGAAAGTAATCCTACCTTACATGTCCTATATGAACTAGAATTAACTTGGAAACAATCTATACGACACAACAATTTTGTACTTTCAATGTTGGTTTAGTATCTTCTCCCTTCTGTATTAATGGGAATCGAGTGGAAATTGGAATAACCTCAAGGAGCTAGTATTGCAAGGTGAAATGGCATGGGATCTTTTCAATATTGTTGTAATTATTGGTTGACAAATCTCGAAGAAGAGAAAATCTTCGATGCTTACCATTAACGTAATTCCCGCTGCTCTTGTCTGCCATCTGTAGGCACCAAGGTCTTCAACGCGGAGTGGCAGCCATGATTTGTACATGTCCTAATGTGGTGGCAGTTCGATTATTAAGAGTGCTGATCTAGTTGGCAATTTGATAGGGGGTAGTAGGATGTCGTGGGCACATCCAACTGTCCTCTGGGTTGCATTATTTGCAATTATTAATAAACTATTAACCAATATAAGAAAGAAAGAAACCTTATTTGGTCAATGATAGCCCCATTACTGACTCTGGAACAAGGCCCTCTAGCTGCTAGACTTCTTCAATCCAGCTCCGTTTTCTGCTGTCTACACATTAGCTGACACCATTGCCTGTTTATCCCAGGAAAGATCTTTCTGCTTTCTGCGATCCAGGTCAACATTCGCATCTAGGTTTACAGGCAGAAATTAAGACATTGAGTTGCAATTATTGAGGGTGTTCTTAGCTGTCCGGGGAGTTGGAGATCACGACTGTTACCAGCACGGCATTTCCTTGAGGCTAGAAGAAAAGCAGAAAGGAAAAGGAATTCCATGCCCCTACCTCCAAAAAGAGTGTTAGAAAATTATTTTAATTGCACCTTTCTGCAAACCTCCAATAAAACATGAAAAACAGATGCTTAAATGACACAATCCCTTTGTCCTCCCAGTAAAAATGCTGCTTTGGTTTCATTTGGACATTTGATCATCGTAGCTTTTATCAATATAAGCACAGTAGTAAACATTACAAATACAAGAAAACTTGTAAAATAAGCAGACAGGCTCAAATTCCGAAGATTAAAATACACGAGGAAATAAATTTATAGAAAATACACAAACAACTCGCTGCAAGCATTATGGTACTGTACAGTGTAAAAAACAAAACATTTGGAATGCAACCAGGATCTAAAAACCAGCAAACAAATTCCACCAGGAAGAATTTGTATTGCCTAATCTGTGCTTCTAGGCTTGGTTCTTCACCTTTTTTACTGTACAAGAGAGCATCAACTAGAAGAGAGTCAAACTACAGACCCTGTTGCTTTTTTTGAGTGCTTGATAAGCCAATCAATAACAATGTCTATGTTTGTGGAGTCCTTGCATGAGATCATATAGCAGCAAACCTCTCTATCTGTGATTGATTCAAGACCTCTGAAACCATCCAACAAAATACAAAAAAGAAAACAATGTCTACCTTTAATTCTTGAGGGAAAAATTAGAAACAAAGTCTACATCATATAGTAGGACTAAACTCACAGCTGATCCACCAAAGCTTGCTTGGAAAAAGCTTCTGACTTGTCAATTTTGTTGCCAACGACAAGCAAAGGGATTCTGCTCAAGGAAGGTTTGGTTAGGAGGTCATGTAACTCACTTCTGGATAAGGGAACACTGTCCCTGTCAGCTGCATCAACTACGTATCTGTCTTTGCATCAATCAAGATGGAAAATAAAAGAGTTAGTCCATTAAACAGACACCAAGGAGAAAACAACAGCGGATATCATCCACTAATGCTCTAGCTAACCAGAGTGAAGGCAATATAAAAAGAAAACATGGAATCTGCAAGAATAAGGATTGGGACAACTATTCCAAGTTAAAAAAAACATTATTGTCATCTTCCCTTATTTTCCATTACCAAAAGTAACATGACCTCTTAATGCATTATTTAATTTGAGAAAATGAAATTTCTTGCATAACAATAAACTGTATGACTAGGTAGTCATTCAGTATGTTAGCATTTCTTCTCTCTTTTGGCTATTGATGCTTTCCTATGCAGCAGGAGAGAGCATTTCGGATGTGACAAGGTATGTGTTCTATTATCAGTACTTTATTTTTTCCTGTGGGAGAAGAGAAAAGAACTCATTCACATGCAGTTAAATATGTGGATGTGTGTGGGCAACAAAGAAAAATAAAAGTTTTGGCTTTATGGGTACTTTAACATAGACATTGAGAAAAGCCAAATATAGCCCACACCCATACCTATTTCAAACAATGTCATCGATTAAGCTAACAAAAGCCAAAGCTCTATTGGGGCAAAAGCTTCGGTAGCCTTAAAAAAAAACCAGTTCAAAGATCAAAAGAAGAGTTAATCAGGGTTTTCATGGAAAAATTAGATGATAGATGCGGATTACAAGGTCTGGTATGACTTTGACTTATCATCCTGGAACTAAAAGATAGTGTTTCTCGCTAGTTCCTGATAGGTAGTGCATTCTAATAAAATAAAAATAAAGAGAAGTGATAATGGCATAACAAAGATGACTAAGAGAATGGGTGGTATTACAGAATTGCAGAGACTCCACGACAAAAACGCTCCCACATTGTACGAAACCTCCGCTGCCCTCCAAGATCCCAAAGCTTTATTGTCACATTGCCTTTTGTAACTTTTCGCACGTTGAATCCAACCTGGTTTTCATAGTATGAAAATTCTATATCTTTTAAACATCACCAAATGCTTTATTTGGAATTTGTTCAAGGAAAAGACACCTACAGTTGGAATCATGTCCTCACTGTAGCCACCTGCCTGGTAAACATAAAAGAAAAAATGTTAAAAGGGAGCCACTCACTAAAACCCATAAATATGTGCCTGGTCAACTTACAGCAATGGAATTAACAAGAGATGTCT